TGTCCAAATACCACAGCAGGTCAGCCTGATATGCTTGCAGCACTGCTATAGTATGCAAGCAGGCTCATGCTAGACCCACTGCCATATATGCTTTTCCCACTAGATTAAAAAATAGTTTTCTTTAATGGTTTAGTGAGAGAAGCCGACGCCTTCAGGGACGATACTGAACCGGGAGACATAGCTCGCAAGTGTCTGTTCTACCCGGGGTATTGCCCCATAGCCATACTCTCTTAACCCCCAAATATCTTAATATACAGGCTAAAAAAAAAAATGAGTAAGGCTTTTTCCATGATCTAGACAGCTCGCTGTGCAGATCGGGAAAAATGGAAGGCCCCGTGATGGAGGTGGAAAAATAGAGGGAAGGAAACTCGTTCAATTTATTTTAAGGACGAGTGCCCCCTTATTTCTGCTGGCCATTAAATATTTAATTTATCTACAGCCTTAGTAAACACCTCCACCAGCTTATTATTATATATATTTTTTTTATATATACACATTCTTTATATATATACACTTTATTTTATATATAATATATAAACTATCATTTATATATATATATATAGGCTATATATAATTCTCATACGCTGGGGAAGAGATGGCAAATCCACTTCCCCCATGATTGTGTCACTTTCAATGTCCAGCACATCTACCTCCTCGGAGGTAGAGCACTGAAGCATTGATTTCTCTCCCCGGGCGGAAGAGACCGCAGCGCGGGCTTCCGAGACCGGAGAGAGAGCACTGGATCCCTCGTGGAAAGGGAGGAGATAAGATCCGCGGACCCGTCTCCAACCCCGTAAAGAGATCCTATTCGCGATCCACAGGAATGCATTCTCCGCGCTGCCTCGGCAGACGCGTGTCCTGCACCCTGAGGATCGCGAGCCTGGCCACTTTCCTCGAAAAGTGACAGGCGGGAGTGGAGCATGCGAAGCGAAAGCTTCTCACAATGTTGCAATCAGCCCCCTCGGAGGCTGATACCGCATGCTCCACTCCCAAACAAACTACACAAAGCTCGTGTGTGTCCCCACCCGTTAAATAACGCGGGCAGGGAGAAGCACAGAGTTTGTAAAGTTGTTTCGCCATAACTCTTCCCAATAATATCGAACAGACAACAATAAATAGACAGAGACAGAGTAACACAGATCGCTTGCTGAGACAAAGAAGCTAATGCCGCGTTTCACCGGATGTGCTCTTATGCCTTCCTGGTCATGACGTCACCCGCCCGTGATGCTCATTCTTTCCATTGGACTAGTTGACATTGATGCTCAGACGCATTCACGCTGGGGGCGTTCCCAAAGCGTCAAGTGACGCATCGCGAGTTCCCTCGAAAGGGAACCCTTATTTTTCAGCTTCAGATGACATATCTTCCAAATTGAGCCAGTCTAGTTGTGAGCTGTAGGCTGTACGTGTAAGATGACTTGTGGACTATTTACAGTGGCAGAGTCTGGGAGGACACCTGGGAGCCGGCCAGCAAATTCGCCTGATGACCAATACTGTTGTACTATTTGTTTTGTATATATTTGTCAATAATTAAATTCACTATTGTTACAAATTTATGATTTGTCTGTCAATCATTGACTGCACAGAATAATTAATGTGTCATGACTTTGTGCTGTATTTGATGGGAAAAGTCAGATAGTGGAAAGTTGCATGTAGTGAGAGTCAAGTCACCTTTATTTATATAGCACTTTTTACAATACAGATTGTATCAAAGCAGCTTCACAGTGATATCATGAAAATAATACAACAAAGTTTCTTTCTAGAAGAAAATTACATCCTCATCCACCTTAAGGCAGATTAGCAAGCCAAACTAAGCAAGCCAAAAGCCAAGGCAACCAGAAAAAGTACCAAATTTACATTACTCTAACTGATCATGAAAATATTAGTCAGTATTGATGGTAATTTTGGAGCAAAGTAAATGGGCTCCTATCCCTGCATCCTTTTTTTACCTCTGATCGCTAGCACACAACACTGTTTGTTTTTGTTATCATAGTTGTCTGTTCAGAACAATTATGAGAGTTCTTAAGACATTTCAAACATTCCCAATGAAGAGAAGAGGTACATTTATCAATTTTCATCAATGGAACATGGGTCAGCAATGATTTTTCAGGTCAGGAAAAAACAAAAAATATGAAAGTGAATTGAAATCACACAGCGTCTGAAGCGCCACTGAAGCCATTTTTTCATATCCTTTGCGTCATACAAAGACAGATTGGTATCAAATTTCACAAATAATTTCCTCATCCTCTGTGTAAACAATCAACATACAGTATGTGCATGACATAATGTGATCAGACTTCAGATATCAGAAAGACCGGAGACATGAGCCTGATAAATCGTTTAAGCCAGGGACATTTCCAGCTTGGCCATCAATATAATTTAAAAGTCTAATGTTTTCTTGTCATAAAACCAGGGAGAGAGGTAGGTTTCCTATGTTTCCCTGACAATAGGGAATGTGCCAGGACACTGAGGACATCAATCTGGTCATCCTGTCCCTGGAATGACTTGACTGTGGGCGGTTTACTAAGGCCTATGACAGTGGTAGGAAATATAAGGCCTGGCTGTGCAAGGTGGGCCACATGTGGCCTGATGTGCTGTTTAATCTGGCCAATGTCTTCATGATCAAAGGCCTCTGGTCTTAATTGTCAGGAAAATGTTGCATTATTCATGAAATACACTCAGTCCCCACTTCTTCTAACCCTAACCCTAACCCTAACTATATCTATATTCTCCATGTCAAGTATGAGCTCTTATCCTCAGGCAAAAGATATAGGGGACCCCAATGTAAACTAAATATTTCTAAACTATAGGCCTGATTTAAACCTACCTCAATTAAAAATTCAAATAATGATGCTTGAGGCTGCAGCGGTTGTGCAATAGCTTCATGATATAATGCATATAGGGTTGTGTGTAGGTTGAAAGATGAGCAATAGACTGTGGCTTTGATGTGCTTCAGTCTGGCTACATATCACTTTGTTTATGTTGTTTAAAGTATATGCCGGATGTATGATAAAATAATATGTTAAGTGTTATGTGTAAAGCATTTGAACTCAAGGCAAATATCCCTCTGGGGACAATAAAGGAGGCTATCACCTGCAAAGTGGTCTTCATGATATGTAACAATTAAAACGTTGTCGTGGGACTATAGCAAGCACATCATTGGAAAGGTCTCAACCTCGACAGTAACATTATGTCAGTCTGAAGAGGATACATTACTCCTGATTTGAATTATTGACCTCTGCTCTGAACCTTGAACCCAGTACATGTTTGAAGGCTTGTCATTTAGCAACAGAACGTGCAACACACATAGGACCAGCTGTTATAGAAAGCTCTGGACCTTAGCTGTCATGTAGATATGGTCTCCAATGTTTAACTACTGTAAGCACTGTCAAATATGTTTTGACCTATTTAACAATTAAAATGTTAAAACAGAAATACTAAGAAATATTAACATTAAAAGAAATACATATAAACCATATGATCTCGTGTATAAATGTTATCTGTGTATCCAGGTAAGATGTATCAAGGAGATGGAGGAAACTGTCATGATGAAATGTCTTCTTCCCCCTAGTACAGACACTACTTAAGACGACACACCACATTTTAGGCATTTATTAGCTTATACAAACACAAAAACAACACACATAGCTCAGACACATAACAAAAATCACAAATGTAAAAAGTGAAGAGCATGTCAAGTGATTACAAAGGCCTGGTAGGGACTGACCCTGTGATACATGATGGGCAGCTATGGAGTGATGTGCAGTAGTGGTAGTGCAAAAGTAAACAGTTCAGGGATTTAATCAGTGCAAAGCTTTGCATGTTAAATATGACTATGAAAAAAAGAGTGAGAGCATAATAGTATTTATTGCGTAACAAAAACAATACAAAGAAGATAAAATAAATAGAACAACAGAAACTTAAATATATATATAAAAAAGAAAAAAAGATTATACAAGCCAACAGGGGTAAATGTTGGGACCACAGTCCAGAATGTGTAGAGGGGCTAATGTAGCCTGTAAGACAGTCCAATAAACAAAGTGATGTGATGGTTGGTGCAGGGTGAGACTCATGCTGAAAAGTCCATTTCTCCCCTAACCTTTTCTGTGACATTGAGTTGCTGGTTTGCCCTGGGGACAAAGGACCTCCTCAATGTTGAGCATGACAGAAGACTGCTACTGCAAATTATCCTCAGTTTGTCAAATCCAGCTCCATGCAAACAGAGCCAGCTTTCCTTACCAACCTGTCCCAGCGGCACTCTTCTTAATGCTGCCTCCCCAGCAGACAACAGCATAAAAAAGGACTCTGGCCATGTTTAATCTTGGTCAGAGTCACTACTGGTATGGTATTCCTCAGAATTACTATCAAAGTTAATTTCTGTTTCAGTCAGAACTTGAACATAACATTTCTTTGCATGTTTTGCCAGGCTGTTGCTTGCTTCCTTGTTCTTCATCGTCAAGCTCTGTAGACCTCGGATACCATCTTGAAGCAGGCCCCACGTCTCACCTTACATGTTAAAACACATTGAGCCTTTATTAATTAGAAACATTCAGAAATATTGTAATGTATGCCAAGTATAACAAATACATACCTGATGTCACATTAGAAAGCTGGGATGACATCTGCTTCAGGGTGTCTGCACGGGTGCAAAGAGACTTCCAATGCTTGTTCATCTCTGCAATAAGAATCCTCTTCTCCTCCTCAAGTCTCCTTACTGCCATCACAATGTCAAATGCCTTCCTCTTTGTCCTTAGATCTACAGAGTCATAAATGAAACATAAGTTGGTTGTATTTAAGATTAGTATTTAAAGAATTTCTGGGGTTACAATCGAGGCATGACAGATTTTGTGCCACTATGTGACTATTTCACATAGTCAACGGAATTGTGTACATACCACCGTGTGTAAGCTGCCATGGCCAAACAATCTCGTCAGATAAAATGGTGTCCAATGTCAGTTTTTCTGCATTAGCAACCAAGGTGTTGTACTTTTCCACTACAGAATTTAAGATTTTTTTTCCTCCCTGATCTTTCGGCGGATTCGGGCACGTCCTTTGCATCCGTCACTATCCTTATAAAGACGCTGGGACCTCCTCTTAACACTTGCCACCAGCTCCTCAATTCGGCTGGCAACAGCGGCAACATCAGCATCATTTGGGGATGTTGTTGCTGAGAGGAAGAAATGGAGAGATCAGAAATATGCTTCTTGATTCCATGAAAAAATATTATTTCTGGTGTATGAGCAAAATAAAGCCTCAACAATCTTTTCATATTTCTCTGTAACTGAGAGGTTACACTTGTAGCTAAGGTTGAGTATAGTTAGATTAGTTAGGTTCTTTATTGTCTCCATGGGGATAAGCTTGTCATCAGCAATCAGAGTATGTGCTCTTTGATTACAATGAGCCTCTTTGGAATTGCAGTCAAGATAAGTCAGTGATACATCAAGCACCATAGGTAAAGGTATAAAACAGTATAAAACAGTATATCCTACCTTCTGCCCACTCATTGATATCAATGATCCAGCTCTCCAGTTGATTGTCTGAGATGTCCATTTCCGTTTTCATGGCCTCCAGGTTATGCAACTGGCATTGCAGGGCTATTGTGGCCTTCAAACATAAATGACAATGAGGGAAACGCCTACCACTTTGACTATTGTTGATAATACATACAACACTAATTAAATTACAATACATACAACACTAATTAAATATACAGTATATTCGTATATACGTATTCGTATATATCAATATATGTGGTATGAACATTCAATATTTTATATCAAGGCACTAAAAAATACAATTGACACTACACATGCAACCATCCGTATATTTAATATATATTGAAGAATATCTGGGCAAGTCTTCTCTATATTTTTGTGATATATGCCACTTTATTTTACAATATCGCTATGCATTTTGTATAAGGGAAAACTGGTGTCTTTACCTTCCGATATCGGCGGGCAAGGGTAGAAGCCAAGTTGTCAAATTTTTGTTGGTTCCAGCGCATGGCCATGATCGTCAGCATGTCTATGCGTCCTGCAAAAATAAAAAAATATGAGATTATCACCCTTCTTTCCAGTAGCAGTAGAAGAAGAAACTGTGCAGACTTGAATCACAAACTTTTCAGAGATAATGACTTACAGTACAGTACTATGGTACTAATCTGCTGTCTTGTGCCATTTGATTACTGTCCCATGAAAGGGTTAGGTAAATAGCACAGGATAGTGAAGAAATAGCATGAAACAGTGGCGCAGGACAGTAGTCGAATGGCATAGAGCACTGTGGCAGGACGGTAGGTGAATGGTACTCTGATGTGTAATTTTTATATCGCACTGCCTTTCCTTATTATCCTCACATCAAATAAAATAGGGTGATGGTATTGTAATCGATCCATCCATTTGTGTTGAATATTCTGAGCTTTATATTTTCAGAGTCAGCATATATGCATGAGCTCAAAGTGGCTCACCCATGTCATCAGGATCAAAATTTACTGGTTACCTTACCTGCTTTTGACATGTGCTTTGTCGTAACAGCAATCCTTGAGAGGAAGGCGTTGCACTGCTCCACCTCTTCCCCAAGAGTCGAACCAGCCCCCTCCTGATATGCTCCACTCCATTTTACCTTTAAAAAAAAAGAAAAGAAAAAAAACCTAAGTGGAAACAATCTTATGCAGGATTTCAGGGAAAGAAAATGTCATGGACAATCATTTTCTCTTACCTCGCATTTGAAATCATGAGCTTTGGCATGAAAAACAGATAGAAATGGCCTCATGGTGAGGAGATCCTGAAGCTCAGGGCATTTCTCTGTCACTCTCCGGAGGTAAGGCCAGTACTTGCATGCCACATCCATTGCAAAAAATGTAAATTGAGCGTCAGCGTCAGTTCTGGCAGGCCAGGTAGTCAAGCCGCTGCTTATGCTATTTGCTATCAACACTGTCCCGTCAGCTGATCTGCTCCAGCTGAGCCGCATTAGCTGGTTAACTCCCCTCGCTGCTCAATGGCCAAGCTCAAACAAGGCGCCCTATTTAAAGCTCATTCACCTTGCTCATACATGCTTGCTGCTCGCTCTGCTGGCTCGCTGCTCACTTCTGCTGGCTCGCTGCTCGCTTCTGCTGCAATATTGACACAGGACGACGTGATTCATTCTCCATTCATCTCTGAAAATCTTCACGAAGCTAAGTTCCTTTTTAATATTCATTGCTAAAAGCCATCAGTGTGTTGGCAACATCCTTCTTGTTAATGCTATCCGTTTGGCATTTGGGCTTATCTAACTAGTCGTTTTCATAAAAATGCTTATGCGATCATATTGGCTACGTGCGTTATCTGTTGTCATTGGCAACTGATCGCGTTGCTCACGCTGGCTTTTACCACTATGCAGCGCAGATTCAAACAGCTTGCTGTGATAGGAATTCACTTCTGCGGACTGCCTTTTCGGACCGTATACAGCTCATTCTTACGCATTGTGCAACAACTACGGCGGCGACACGTACTCGCTCCGGTTTAACCCTTTAAGCTATGGGGCGGTGGTTTCTGCTGCTTACGAACGATACCTCCGTCTCGATGTTCGGGATATTCTTGACGACCAGAAGCCATGAGCTCAAGTCTCTGATTTGTTTCGTTAATAAAACACATTCGATCATTATTTTGCTCGCGCTCTGCTCAGTTAATGCCCCTGAATGCGCTATCAGCTGTTAATTTATTCATCTAGCTCGTTCTCAGAGGTGGATTAATCATCTATCCATAGAGCTTACACTGTAGACTGTCAAACAGTAAATACAGATAATCCAAGTAACAGCATGTTTTAGCTATTGCGGTCTTGATTAGTCATTTCAGTAATTAATTAATATTTTTACTATTATAAATCGCTAAATTAGGGCGGCTCAGTCGACACCGTTCGAGACACTCAATTTTGTTTTGCGGGGAATAGCTCATGTGGTTAAATAATCATCCTCTGTATCACAGAGGATTGCCAGGTGTGGTTTTGTTTGGGGGGATATTTTAGCTCTCACAGTCTAAAACTGTGTGAGCGTTCCCTAATGCTGCTGCTGCTGTCCTCTGACTCTCTGCTATTTCATGGTGCTCATGAAAGGTCAGAGGACTCCCTGAACAGAGCCATACCGCCAAATTTCAATTCAGGAACATCAACCTGTTTTCAATCTATTCAAATAATTCTTAATTATTTTGTCTGTGTGTTCTTGACTTAATGGACCTGACAGAAATTGAGCGTCAGCGTCAGTTCTGGCAGGCCAGGTAGTCAAGCAGCTGCTTATGCTATTTGCTATCAACACTGTCCCGTCAGCTGATCTGCTCCAGCTGAGCCGCATTAGCTGGTTAACTCCCCTCGCTGCTCAATGGCCAAGCTCAAACAAGGCGCCCTATTTAAAGCTCATTCACCTTGCTCATACATGCTTGCTGCTGGCTCTGCTGGCTCGCTGCTCGCTTCTGCTGCCCGCCACCTCCCCAGCTCCTCCTTATGCATAACGTGGCATTTGCTATGTCATGTTGCCTGCTCTGTTCACAGGGGGATATTTTAGCTCTCACAGTCTAAAACTGTGTGAGCGTTCCCTAATGCTGCTGCTGCTGTCCTCTGACTCTCTGCTATTTCATGGTGCTCATGAAAGGTCAGAGGACTCCCTGAACAGAGCCATACCGCCAAATTTCAATTCAGGAACATCAACCTGTTTTCAATCTATTCAAATAATTCTTAATTATTTTGTCTGTGTGTTCTTGACTTAATGGACCTGACAGAACTGTCTTACAGGCCATTTGCTTTTGGAGTTTTGTTTAGAAGTAAGCCTGTGCAATGTTTGGCCCATTAATCCAAGGGATCACTTCTGGGATCAGGAAATGATATTGGGGAGAAGATGTCAAAGTCTGTAGCCAATGGAGTTGAAGTTGAGATCTTCAGAATGACCTGTTTTTTCAGAAATGTCTCAGTGCAAACTGCTGATGAGAGACCATGAGTTTATGGTTGTTTATAAAGGGTCTAAATTTAACAACTTTTTTTCCTAAACAGTGCAAAAGTTCATGTGTACTATCATCATCATCATGCCCTCATTGTATTATTTATGGAGTTACACAATTATTACCACAAATACTTACACAGCCAAAGCGAACAGTGCGTTGATCCAGCATTCTAAGAAATGCTTGGCTAGACATCCCTGGTGCTGTCATCTTCAGCTCTTCAAAAGAAAAAAGGACATCTGTTGCGTACACAGTTGAATAGTGAGAAGTGGCAGGCCAGTAGTCATTGCGGATCAGGTCATCCACTCCAGGACTCCAAGTGGCTTCACATGCTTTGCATCTAATCTGAGGCAATCTGAGATCATATCGCCCTGGAAAAAGAAGGAAATATATACACAAAGTTAATTCTGACAGACCAAACTGTGTCATTCTGACAACTGAAATGGGAACCTTTGACTAAGGATGGATCAGGAGGACACTTCTACAAACATTTTGTAAGGCACTCTATTGGAAGTCACACTTTTGTCAGGCAAATTAACTGTGTTCAAACAAAGGTTAATTGTTTTCCTCCACATTGGTGGGCCCAGCCAATCTAATCAACACACAACCTATTGACACCTCTGGATTTCCAGCCATGATAAAGAAAATGTATTGCACAATGTAAAATGTATGAATGTAACATATTCATGATTCGTATATGTGCATAATTGTGACGAAAAGTGAGAGGGAGTATATACTAGGTGTGATCAGCAAATAGCTGTGGGTGAAATTCTGCAGCCACTTCTACAGAAGTGACCCCCACCCAAACCCATAAAGTTCTTCTTACCATTCATTGTAACCACAACTATGGACTGTCCTGCGATGACACTGGACGATACTCGTAGACAACCGCATATTGTCTCTGGCATCTCCAAAGGTACAAGACGCTCTTGAAAAAAAAAAACCCATGGATGAGAATTAAAGAATAACATTTATTTACTGGCAACTATTTTACAGTTTTTTACAATCACTTTGTTACTATTTTCAGAACCTTGATGTCATTTTTCACAACTCTAGACACAAAACTCACAACCAATGATGTGAAAAAGAAAAAGCACATTTTTCAAAACTCTAACCCTTTTCTCAATTGCTTGGATACAATACACATAAAACTTAGATCATTTGTTCATTCAACAAAGATCACCTGTTCAATATGACACAACTTAACATCAAAGTACTACTATTTCAAAAGGCAATTCACACATTACATTTCAAATGAGTGTCTATTCATTTCCTTACAATGATCTAACTATCAATTGATACAACTGCTCAAAATGATAAGTAACTGTTGCATTACTCTTAATGCATAGTTGTATGGAAACAGACACACAATCTTCCATGTTTACAGTAAATCATGAAAGTTTCAAGATAATGAGATTCATTGTCACCAATTAGCATGGCATGAACCAATTAGACTACAATATCCATGGATGTAGCCTAATATTTTATCATACTGTAATGCTTCATCAGACACTGTGTCTATGGTGCCAAATACTGTACCACCTTTTCAGACTATGTACAGTATTGACAGTACAGTACTGTATAGATGCAGGCCCTTGTAACTGCGTGTCCAATTCTGCCAATCACAGCAGAGCAGTGTCAGGCCTGGACTCGCCATGCCAAAGGTTTTTTCCAAGATGTCATTTTCCAACATCCATTGTGATGTAGATGAGAACCTGTGGCCAAATCCACAACACAGAGTTGATGACAGTGTAGAAGTACAGTAATCACTCCTGTTTAGTTTCTTACAGCAAGTTGAGGAACACTGCATTTGATGTTTTACAGTACTGTCTTTTCTATTCTATTTCATAGCTAATTATTTTTGCTTTGATTCAAAAAACCATGTTGTGATTGTACTGTAGTGTTTTGCATCAATATATTACAAACTTTGTTCACAATGATTCCACTGTGTCTGTAATATTCTCTCTACTACTGCAGTACTTTTACAGAGATGTATTTACTGTACATGTAGTACCATAATGAAACCTGTATCACCTATTTTGCTCTACAATATTTAATGATTGTACGAACAATGACACAGTGAAACTATCGGTTGCTTGTGTGTGGGTGATCTATAGTTATGTTTCAATGGTATTTCACAGTTAATTTGTTTTTTGAACCAATGATTGTGCAAGTGCAAGATTTCTTTAAAGATGTGAATGCACAATGCAATGTTTTGAACATTAGACAGCCTGTGTTACAAGTGATTATCGTTTTGAGTTTTGTGTCTAGAGTTTTGAAAAATGACATCAAGGTTCTGAAAATAGTAGCAAAGTGATTGTAAAAAACTGTAAACAAGATGTACTTGACGGCTTCATCGACCTATCAGAAAACAGTATTTCGTTTTTCAGTCAAGTCTAAGAATGTGACTTTTAAAAACTTACCACACTGGGTTAGAACTCTCTCCACAACACAAGTTGTGGGAGGCACTGGATGAAAAAATGCATGTGTCATCGAATCCCTGTTGTGGAACACTTGACCTCGATGGACCCTGACATCACACTGGCCACAGAGGAATGGGTGTGGTCGGCAGTCAGAACAACGGATAACGGCTGGACCATTTCCACAATGTTGGCAGATCCGAGTTGCCGCATGTTGTCGAGCCACCATGGTGTTGACCAGTCGGGGTCTCTCTTTCTCCCACCACCCTGATATGAGGCTCTTTCGGGTCGACCAGTCTGTTGAGGCTTGAAGTGCCGTTTCATCCTCATGTATGTCCTCACCCAGTGAGCTTTTAAGCTCTTGAAGGAAGGACTCTGTTAAAACAATGCAAAATATTTAAAAACAGTAGTTTATGTTAACAAAAGAGAATAGCATTGAACAATGGCCATTTTATAATAAATGAAC